ACAAAAACAGCAACCGAAAACTTCCCATCAGTTCGCTTAGCGCTCTCAGGTGCGCGGGGCCCCGCGGCCCCGGTGTCTGCTGCCCCCGTGCGGTCGCGCCGCCGTCATGCACCCTTAAGGGAGCGCACGTTTTGAGGAATCTCTTAGGAGAGGGGCAGGGACTAGGGAATGGCGTCCCGTGGCGTTAGGCAAGGCAGCGGCTGCTGATAATTGGGTTATCCCACCTGGTCCTTCCTGTTAGGGAGGGGACATATTGCCCAAGAACACCTAGCACAATAGTGCATGGGTGGTGGTAAACCAAGATGTTGAGTAGCAAAGGGAAAGGGATGGAGGGCTCCCTGCTGAAGGATCCAAGTTGAGGGGCTCCTTCTCCAGCAACTTCTGCTGCCCTGATGTCCAGACTGGCAGGTGGGGTCTCTGAGGCCATTGCTCATTCATTCATTTATTAATTCAATTATGATTTCAATTACTTCATTATTAATCAATTTATTAATTAAAATATTTACAGAGCCCCTGCTCTGCACCCAGCACTGTTCTAGGCATGGGGCACAGTAGTGAACAAAATTCATGGTCACAGTCTTCAGAGATGGCTTGACATGAAGGTCAGGAGGGAAGGCGATGGGGTGACTCTGGCCAGTGGGACTGCATGGCTGGGGCTGCTGTTCCTGAACTAGATTTGGGGGAAGTTTCACACTCCAGGGGAGGCTGACCTCTTGTTACTAGATTTCCAGCCATCTGTGTTCCTCCCTCCTGTGGTTCTGCAGCCACAGAACCACAGATAGGCCTTGCTATAATCTATCTGGGGGACCAAGATGAGGGTTCTTGTCCAGGTAGGGGACAGCTGACTGGAGCTGAGACTGAGACCTGGGCCTGGCATCCTAATGGGGCTTGAGAGGTACCCTGAGGGGTGGCTCCAGGGGCAATGGGACAGAGTGAGGTCTCTACCACTCCAGCTCCTGCCCAGACCGCATGGTCCAGGGAGTTTGGTCAATATGAGGTTAAGGATGATCAACTCAGCCTTAGTGACAGTAAAATTCTAGATATGGCAGTGCTGGGACTTAAAAAAAACAAACAAAATCCAATTGAATAATTTTGAAGATCTAATTGGCTTTATTTAATAATTCATGAATTGGGCAGCATCCCATCCAGCAAGTAAAAAGGTGAGATCCAAGGAGATGCAAAAAATGGAAAGCTTTTATAGGCAGGAGGGTGGGACAAGGAAGTTATGACAGTGGATTATTTCAGGCAGGTTCATCTTCTCTTCTCTCAGTGGGTCTTAGGCAGCTTACTTCAGACTGTTTTAAAACCCCACTCCTGAGAGAGGCTGAAATCGCAGTTAGGTTAGGTATTAAGTCTTGGTGGGGCTTAGCACAAGTGACTCCATTTTGGGCTTGTTTATTTTTGACAATTTTCCCCTTTTGATCCCAGCTTAACTGAAAGATGAGATCAAAATTTAGGGCATTAGCACCACTCACCTACTGCTCTCTAGTTCTCCCAGCTTTTTTGCATTTTCTTTTTGGTTTGTTTTTGTTTGTTTGTTTGTTTTTGGAGGTGAGAGATAATTAGTTTTGTTTTTTTTTTTAATGGAGGCACTGGGGATTGAACCCAGGACCTCATACATGCTAAGCAAGCACTCTACCACTGAGCTATACCCTCCCCCTTCTCCCAGCTTTTTTGATGCTGCTTTTTTGCTGAATCTGTGTGGTACTCACAGGTCACCACTCCAGGCTTACAATTTTTTTGTCATTCATTCTCTTTGTTCCTTTTTTGAGGTCCAGTCTTAGGGATATTTACCTGGTGATTAATGGCTGTGAACACACGTCTAAAGCTTTTGAGAGAATGCAGAGCACAAGGGATATTATTATAATTCTAAGCAAGATAATTCCCAATGTTTAGACTGTATTTGGGAGCTATGGGTCCCTAAGACCCAAACCAATGAATATCAAATTAAGTCGAAGAAAGACCCCATTGAAGGAGTCACCTTTTTAACCCAAAGGGTTTGTTCAGTATCTTATGTAACTGGCTTTCAGCTTCCCCAGAAGTGTTAAGTCTAAGCACAGCAGGTGGTGTTGGCCACAGAACAACTCAGCTGAAAGGCCATCCTGTTATCAGGAACAACTTTGGCCAGAGAGTCTAAGGATCTTTGCTAAGTAGCTAGTGTCTTAGCAACAGAATCTGCAATGTTTCAAGAGTTAAGGAGAGGTTTCTGATCATAACTCTCATAGTATTTACTGCTAAGTCAGAGGTCAGTCAGGTTCTTAGTGCATATGGGGTGAGAATCTTCTAGCCTGAAGTAAGAAGTTGTTCTAAATTCCAGAGGTTACCCTCCTAGCAATGGCCTGGGAGATATGGGTGATGGCTTTATCTTTCTGGGCCAATGCCAGCATACAGGAAAGAAAGGGAAGGAGAGAGAGTTTTATGCTGAGTTAAAGTATGAAATCTCGATTCAGCATCTTGAGTGGAAGCAGTTTCCACTGATGTTAGCTACGTCTCTTCCTAGCCAATTTGGTGTCTCCAGTGTTTGTACCAATTTTGCAACTTCTTGGCTTCTGAGAGCTCTGTTAGCAACAGCCTTTACTTGACCCAGACCGATGCCAGCTGGTAACCACCAACAATTCCCACAGAACTCTGGGAAAAAGCACTGAACCAGCAGACCTCAACAAATGAAGATGACAGACTGATTCCAAACAAATGAGGAACTTCAGTGGTCACAGCAGGTCCCAATGTGGAATCTGAGGAAGGATTCCAAACAAATGGGGAGCTACAGACTAAACCAGCAGCCGCTCCCAACATGGAATCTGGGGACACAAGCAAGGGCTGGGGTTTCCAAGCAAATGAGGTATCCTTGACCCCTGCCTCGCTTTACTTGTCTTCCCTCAGTCCTCTGTTGGGAAACAGTTCCCCATGGGTCTCCCGTGTTTCCGCACAGGAATTGATTGCTTTTTGCTCTGAGTGATCTTTTCCAAGATGCCTGGAGCAACCTTGGAATACTCAACTTCTCATGCAAAGCCCAGGCATGGTCCAGCACGATCATGTCTCTCTCAGGAGCAAAAGGCAGACTTGCCTACTGCCCTTCATAAAAGATTTGGGTTCCCTAAATTCAGGGTTTCTTTTCCATAATACACCCCCTTGGTGTGCAGGTACCATGTGCCCCATTTCATGTCACCCTGTGGGATCTGGGACTCAAAGAACCAAGGCAAATACTTACAGTCTGGTTTATTACTGCCAGTGCTGTGAGGGATGCTTTGTCCGTCCTTTCTGACCCAGGAGTCTCGTGCCTTCCACTAGCATCCGAGACACTCCAGCAGGTTGATCAGTTAGCTGGCAAGTAGGGTACCTCTTGGACCTTTCACCATTCTTGACAGCTTCTAACCCTGTCAGGTCCACCTTCTAGGCACTTCTGGCATCTGCCCACTTCTCTCTATCCCCAGTGCCACAACCCCACTCCAGGCTCCATCACCTTGTGCCTGGAGGCTTTACTGTTGTGGGTTCCTGTTGCTTCTCCCCTTCCCCCCAAGACCCTTCTCTGCCCTAGTCTAGCCTCCTTATGCAGCTGGAGGGACCGCTGTAAATCCCCCAATGGTCAGTCTCCAGTGCCTTGCTGCATCGGCTCTTCAGGGGCTCCTATCATTTGATGGAATATTCCATGACCTGTGTAGCCCTTGCCAACCTCACCGCCTGCCTTGTGTCCCTCCCTCGTCCCACTGTATGCTCTAGTGATACCAAATTGTTGGACTCCTGCTGTTCCCCCTGCCTGGACCATCCTTCACACTTTCTTCTCTGGAAAACTCCTCTGGAAACATCCTTCAAAACTTAGCTCAAGGAGGCCTGCCTGAAGCCCCAGCGACCCCTCAGGGCCATAGTGTCGGAGAATAGAGGGCAGGTGGGGGAAGGGCAACAGCCGAAGGCAGAGTGGAGGCACTTTGTTCGTTGCACCCTCCAGACCCTAGCTGTTGTTCTGGAGGCGGAAACAAATGGGTGAACAGGACTTGCCCTGGGCGAAGGTCTCCTTTGCCCTTTCAGGGATTCATTATGGCAAGTTGCCATGTACAGCTGGGCAGGTTGTATCCTGCACAAGGGTCCTTGCTGAGGGAGCCAGTGAGACTGAAATCATGCTGTGCGCAAGGGCGGGTCCAGCAGAGAGGCCCTCTGCTCACAGGGCCCTGCGCTCACACGACCCTGTCCACCAGAGGACGTGTTTTTAAAAAATTTCTAGAAGGCCCTTGGGGACATCTGCGGGGACCCAGACAGGAAAGCCAGTGGAGGACATGTTGTGATCAAGTGTCTGGGTTCTCCCAGAATTCTAAGCCTTTGACTCTGGTCCTTGGCTTCAGAAACCTCTCTGGGATGCTCCAGGCAGCCTGTGGCCCTGAGGGATCTTGCTCAACAAATTGCCCTCTTTTCCTCAGGGAATGCCTCTTTCCAGGACACTCTGAGCCCTTTAGATCAGCATGTTTCCTTTCCCCTGCGTCCTCTAACCCAGCCTCAGACCCCACGGACACATCTCGAAGATCTGAGCATCAAGGTCACAGCCGCACTGCTCTGCTTTGTGACTAGGGACCAACCTTTAGCAAAATGTGAGAAGAAAGAATGGGGGGTTTAGGTAGGAGCTTCCAGACTTGGGCAGCTGAAGTTTCCTTCTGCCTCTGAACATTCTGTCACCTGAGGCCCTGGAGGTAAAATGTCTATTTCCTAGGGCTTTGATCCTTCGGGATGTGGAAGGACGGGGGAAGGTACAGCATCCTCAAGCTGCTGCAGCTGCCTGTGCTGGACCGGCCAGAGGTTCATGGAGTCGATGGCCCCTGGAGCAGGCTCCGACAAGGAAGTGGACAGGCGGTGGAGGACCAAAACCTCAGTTTTTGTGCAGTGATGGGGCGGGGAGCAGGTGAAGGGGAACCTTTTGTGGCAATTTGGTCCCCACGGTAACTTGGCCCCCACCCTGTGGTATCTGTGAGGTCACCCTGTCTTTCCTAACTGGAGGAGAGGTAAGAGGGCCAGACATGGAGGCCATCCCTCCGATCAGATCCAGCCTCTCGGGGACTCTGCTGGTGGTGGTGAGGCTCTCCACACTGGTGAGTGGGGGTCAGGTGGCTGAGAGGCAGGGGCCGCCTCAGAGCTGCTGGACCCCCACCAACCTGTCCCTGCTGGTGGAACAAGCTGGACTAATCTGACAGCTCTCAGAAGCCCCATCCACAAGCCACAGTGCTGGAATTTTCTCTGTAAAGGGTTAGTTCTGTGGGTTAAGCATGGCCCCTCCCATCCGTCTTTTTTAAACAGGCAAATACTGACCACCGGGGCCATGTCTCCACATTACAACTCCTCAGTGGGCTGAGTTATCAGAAGAAGGTCCCCTGGGTCTGCTCCCGTGGCCGGGAAAGGGGAGCTCACCCAGTGCGGTAGAGAGACAGACACAGTTGGACTGGAATCCTGACTGCTCCACTCTTTAGCTGTGTAACTTTACACAAATTACGCCACCTCTCTGAGTCTGTTTCTGCTCCTATAACCGATCTCATAGGATCATGTGAGTTATAGTAGGTTTCTCTCCTTCCGGGTTCCAATATTATGAGCTAAGGAGTGGGTGCAGCTCCTGTTTCCTGCTTCCAGCTTTTTAAAAAAAATTATCATATCTTTTCCTGCTTCCATCTTTATTCCTCTCCTAGCTAGACCCCTGGACTCCCTACCTCTCCCAGCAAGGCTCCACCGTGATTCTGCCCACGGTGGGGCACACAACCAGCCCTGATGGCTGCCTCCCACATTGCCTCCTAGGGCTCCAGGTGGTCCTGTGACAGGGACAGTCGGGGTCCAGATTGGTGGGGTGGCAATGCTTAGGGGCAGGAGGCTTTAGGGCTCTGATGAGGGGCTGTTTAGCCCCAGAACTCAAGTGAATCTTTCTCATTTACAGCCTCATTCCCCATCGGAACCCACTCTTTCCCCCGGGGGATGGGAAACATATCTACCCTGTCGCCCAGGGCAGGAATCTGGACATCTTCCTGGGTACCCCCTTCACCCCTCACACTCAGTCAGTCGTTAATTCTGTCACTGCCCCCCGTGCCTCACATGTCCCTACCCCTAGCGGCCCTGCCCTTTGCCCCCAGCTGCCCTCATGACAGCAGGAGACAACGAGTATGAAGGAATCCCAGCCGCCTGGGAGAGGGAGATGCCCTGGGTTCAAATCCTGCAGGATTAGAGGACTGAGGGGGATGGTCGTTCCTTATATAAGAATAATGAGGATGAAGATGATAATGATAATAAATCCACCTCCTTGAGCCTGGAGGTTTGTAAATAATCATTTAAATCCAAAGGAGAGAACATCTAACATAATATGAAATACATTCTAAGGCTCCCTCCCAAGACTGGATCACTCGTGTGGGGGGGGAAACTGAGGCCCTGAGAAGGGGAGGGCCCGGCCCAAGGTGGTCTGGCAGCCCCATCCCTATGATAAACCTTGGGATAATTAAAGTAAAATAAAATAAAATAGAAAACCAAAAACTCGGGACAGGTAGGGTTCTTGCCCCAAAGGAGGGGCAGTGGGTGATGACTGTCTTGCTCCTCCTGCAGCTCTTTCAGAACCGGGCCCACCTCTACCATTTCCTGCTCCTTAAGATCATCCTCTTCAACCACTGGCTGTCGGGGCTGACCCAGGAGGCCCGGGGGGTCCCGCCCGCCCCCCGAGCTTGC